GGATTTGAACCCTGACGCTCTGGAAATTAGCAAATTGTGGCAAGCATCTTCGTGCACTCAGCTACAGCCAGACATGTAAATGTGCACTCAAATGTTCAGTTTGATTCAACACCACGTGTGCGTGGTATGAAAGTATTGTTTTTAAGTACGAACATTTCAAAACGATAATCAAATAAAACATATTCATGTTTACTATGCGTTATTTCCCCCAGTAAATTCATAAAATTGTTCTTAATATTACAACGCGTTTTTTCTCTCAGTGTAGTAATTTTTATGCAAAATTTGTGCAATCAAATCGAAAACCGGGACACTTTAATGGAACCCGGGACATTTTAAGGTTGGACCGGGACACCGGGACAAATAGTCTAAAACCGGGACATGTCCGGGAAAACCGGGACGTCTGGCAGCCCTACACACAAAGCGCATACTTTCATGCGATTTTCTTTATGATCGCATTTGTGTTCTGGATGTACAATAGTCATTATTTCCTGACAGAAGAGTACATAAATACCAAAATAAATCTCATACAAGCTTTGAATTTATTTACTTATTATGCGGAGTACCGTTGGCCTAAGTTAGAGCATTTTTATTTCTTGCACAAGCGCAGTGCGACTTGCCTGCGCTACTTGCTTATAGCAACAAACCTTTAATAAAAAATTACTACCGTATTATATAGCATACAATATTGTATACATACATACATATATTGCGATATTGAAAGTGTTTGTAATGAGAAAGTTCACGCTACAGAAAAAGGTAATTGTGGTGTTTTATCTAAGTTGTATACCGGTAGCGCCCAATAAATCTCGATCAATTATTCTTTCGGTAGGAAAAAATGAAAATGTTTCACATTGATTTGATCCGTTTTAGTGAGTTAAAAAAGGGGAACAGATTTGTATGAGATTTCTTTTCGTATAAATATGCTCTAATTATCGAGAAGTACGCCTTCCTCTTTTGCAAATACATCCTATCAGAAGTATGTGTAATGTGGATATCTTTAAAACAGGAGCAGCTAGGATTTCAATTTAAGCGGATTCTTAACCTTAAGATATCAACAAATACAACCCTGCTTTCAGATTTTGTCGACATTTTTATGCAACCTATCTTCGCTTCCTGCCCACCGTGTATTGTAAGCTAGATCTCTAGCGGTACATCGGTGAAAACTTCATTCAATTCCATGCTTTCGAGTGATGCGCGTACAAATATACCGACAGAGAGCAAAAATTCTAAAAAAATTTTATTTGGCTTCTGTAGCTCTAAAAAGAACCCATCATAATTAGGTACAGACATCGGCCTGTTACAATTTTATTATAGGTATTGATATAGATTTAATTTATTTTATCAATTTAATACAATAAAATTTTTTCAAACAGGTGGCAGCCCTCCCTAAAAATATTTTCGACAGTAAAATTTCCTAAACCTCTTCAGTTTGATACCCATATTGCAATATTTAATTTTTGTTATCAATTTACTTAAACTGCAATTTTGAAACCGGTGCCAAATCTGTAATTTTTTCTTTCTATATTTTAAGTTAGACTTCTGGCAATACATCAGTGAAAACAGCATTCAAATCCATGCATTCGTTTTCGAGCGATGCGCTTGCAAACATACAGACAGACAGACAGACAAAAATTCTAAAAATGATTGATTCGGCTTCTCGTGCTCTAATAAAGACCCCCCACATTAATTTTTTTTCAATATCTATAATGTACAGACATCGACCTGTTACAATTTTATTATGTATATAGATATATAATAAGTTCACAAAAATTTTAGACACGTGGCAATCCTATTTAGAAGTTAGTATGGTAGAGCGATGAAGCTGTCCTTCCAAATGGTGCTTCACTTATTAAATTTGATGGAATATTGTGGAAGATGTGGAGCTTTATTGACTGGATACAGTGCTTTCAGCTCTTTAAACCCCTTTTTTTAACAAATTACTAAATTTCAACAACGCGACTATTTTTCTCCCCTTCAAAATGATATATAATTCACTAAATTTGATGAAATATTAAATATTTATTAAATCGTTTGGCATCAGAAAAGTACCTTTTAGAAATAAGTACATAGATAGGTACTGATTTCTCCAAGTTTTCGTGTTTTTGTAAATTACTGTTATATGGTAGGTGGGCGTGGTCATTGCCCAATCTCAAAGATTTTCAGCAGATTTCTTAGCTAGACCCTAGGCAAGACTCGTACCGAGTTTGGCAAGGATTGGTGAAGCGGCTACTGAGATACAGCATTTCATCATAAGTGGGAGGGATCACGCCCATTTTTCAAAAAAATCTAAATAATATAAATTTTTACCAAAATTCTACTTCACATATTAATTTTCAACAGTTTGCATCCAATATTTACTGAAATATCGTAGTCCTTGCATTTTTCGATAAGGGGAAGTGGGCGTGGTTACAGTCCGATTTCGCCCATTTTCAATACCAACCTGCCTTGGATAAAGGGAAACCTATATACTAAATTTCCTTGGGATATCTCAATTTTTGATCGAGTTATTGTTTACATGGACGACATGACTTAATCGACTTCTCTATATATGGTTCAATGGAATTGAATTCAGTGCTAAATATTTGAATAAATCATTCAGATTTAGATAGCGTTTTAAGAAATTTATCTGGGAAAAATAAAACATTTAGGGTGGGATTCACAGTGCTTAGTTAAACGATTGTTAACTTAACGACCAACAAGAGTTTAACTTTGAATTTATATTCAAAGTCACATAGTTAACAATGGAAATTCATATCGCCTGAAAATATACAAACTCTAAAAATCATTACTTTTCTTTCAAATTTGAAATTCGTTCCACAGAAAAAATTTAATTTCACAAGAGTTTAACTGCTGGTTTAAACTTTTGTTAACTGAGCGATGTGAATATTAAAATTAATGGTTAAAACTTTTGTCAGTGGTTAACTATGCACTGCGAATTTAGCCCTTACACCATTACATTCATAAAAAAATACAGGGCATTTAAAAAATGCGTATAATTTTCGTCATAAATTGATATAATAAATTTTTTTGCTTCTAGTTCAGCTTTCGTCAATCGAAATATTTACCTCAAAGAGGTCAAAGGTTCAAGGACGATTTCTAGGCCCTACTGTAGCATGCTAGGAAATATGCACCTGCCACCGGTGACTTGAGTGGTTTAAAGGCGTTCACCGCCCACCTGGGTTGTGTGCTCAGGGGATATATTTTCTTAGCCACTATCCAGTTTCCTCTGTTGATTTTTCATTTTCTTCGGTCCGATTTGTCTCGGAATATGAGATAGATCCTGTAAAGTGAGTAGCTAGGAGAAGTGTGATCTTCTCTTCCCCACTGCCAGTAAAGCTCCTATCGCTCTTTAGTAGATTTGCAGATGAAATAGTTTGTTTTTTCTGTTAACTTATAGCCATCTAGCCTCCATTGTATTTGCTTCAGATGAGCTCCTAAGCTTATACTCCCTTATCTCTTTGTTATAGAGACAAGATGTACATGATTTCCGACGCGTCGGCTTCCCGGGTTGTTTTGCGCAGTTGAACACTCCGAGGGTGTTTGTGACTCCCCAGCCAATATTAGTTGGGAATGGAAGGATATCAAGATGGAAGAAGATTAAGGAGATTGATACAGCGGCATCGAGTCACTATGCAAGCATCCCTCTTAGTTCGTGGTGATTTGTCAGACACTGAAGGAGGTGCCATAGCTCCACTTAAGCCCCACTTAAAGTCGACTCTAAAGTTAGTTGAACCTTTTTTTGACAGATACCCCATTTAAAATTATGCCAAAATTCTGCTATTAAATGTACAGCCGATTTCACCAGCAATTTAAATGGAAACTGATTTCTGATTTTCTGTCAAATTCCATATAAAATTCATAATATTAAAATTATTTTTCACTTAAATTTCTTTGGTGAAATTGGCTGTTAGAGTAACTTTGTTTTGACTGTAACTGCGGGCCTAAAAATGTAAATTTGGGATTATAACCTAGATTGTAAGATGCACGATTCGTAAGATTCAAGAGAAACACGAATATAATTTTAACGGTACTTCTGTTCATTTTAATACGTATTTCGGAAAAACTTCAAATTCATTTTATGAAATTCTTTGTATGAGTTAAACAATAAATTAAATTAATTAATAAATTCACATTTTACATACATTCAAACATGTATGATTGTATCATTTACGCGCAGTTACATATTTACTTTTTATCCTCTGACTTTCCCACATCACGTGTCATTTGCACGTATTCTTGTATTTGCCGCAGTTGTGTCCAGTATATTTCCATCCATAGAGCATGTGCCGCTTCATACTCACTACCATAAAAATTATACTGAGACCATTGGGTGTCATTTTGAGTTTCTTTAGCTTTTTCTGAAGAATTCTTTCCCCCTTGTGTTTTAGAATGTTTTGTCTTGTTAGTTCCTTCCGCGCTATCTTTTCCTTTTGAAACGCTATCTTCTGTTCTTTTCTTGGTCGATGTTGCGACTTCAGAATCAATTTCTGCCGTCTTGCTATTACTTTCGCGGTCATTTTCTTCTTCATAATTTTCTTCAACTTCATCTTGATCATACTCTTCATCTTCCACTTCTTCATCATTTCCCATTTCATCTTCCTCTTCAATTTCATCGTCGTTTTCCTCATCCTTATACTCGTCTTCAATGTCGTCGTCGTTTTCTTCATATTCATCTTCCCCTTCAATTTCGACGTCGTTTTCTTCATCTTCATCGTCCCCTCCAGATTCCTTACTTGAATCTGGATAGGGAAATAATAATTCCGGATCGACTTCATAGCTGGACCCGGTTCCAGTTTCTGAGGACGAATAATATCCATTTTGAACGTAACGTTCAGGCTCGGTATCAGATGTTACAATGCCAGAAGAAGCGCTAGTGGTATTGCGTTCATTGAAGCCACTGCTTCCTCCACGCTCCGAATTCGATCGAGAATTCAAGGAATTACTGGCACTAATCGTAGGGGACGGATCTTCCTCACGGGAACGTAAAACGGAATCGTTTAGAGCAGGTGAGTCAGAATGCGATTGTTGATGTGGCGGAATTTCAATCTGAAAAATATATAAGACAACATCTGTTTTACATTATTTCCAAGAACTTACCTGGGCACCTACATTTACTGTTAAATTATGAATGTGTTTAAGATTATACGACATACGTTGACAAGGGGGAACAACATCAGGTATTGTATTGTTTGGTTGATTATGAGCTGGTGAAGTAAAGTGCTTTACTTCAGAAACTTCTAAACTCTCTGATATAGATTGTGAATTTTTCAAGTCACTAGCTGTTTCCGTAGTATTGACGAACTCTTCAATAGAATCCTGCATTCTTGAAGGCGTTGCAACCGAAAGAATAAAAGTTCCTTTATCAATCTCGTTGGAACCAGTTTCTTGGCTCAGGCTGCTGGAATATTCCTCAGCATTGAAATTGGCATAGTCAGAATATATATCATGTTTATTCTCTGCTAAGTTATTTTGGACTGGCTGGTCGATAAGCATAGACTTATAAGCAGTTATCTTGTTAGATATGTGTGATTCTAATCCAGTTTCTTCAGTCTGTTGAAAGTAATTGGATTAATATTTTTGAGCTGAAATAAATCAGGTTTGCTTAAACTTACCTCTTTCAATGAATTATCAGAATTCGTAAGAACTGCTTTTTTATAGTCATCAAACAAATCTATTGGCGGTTTCTTTTTAGCTTCGCCTTCTTTAGCATCCATTTGACTTTCACAGCTATTAGGATCGACTAGGAATTCGAATAGTGTAGGAATAGCCGCTTTTTGCATTAGCACAGATTGGTATCGAGAAATATCTTGTTGGCTACTACGAAGACTGTCTGCGGCAATGCTACTAGCATCATCAATGGTATTCGAAGAAGGGAGTTGCTGTGAAGAACCCTGGCGTGAGTCTATGGTAAGCTTATGTGAAGGGGAGAGTATTAGATGGTTACATTCAGGTCGTTCTAAAAGATTTTCCTGTATATTTAGTGCACTATCTTTGGAGTCTACGCGAAAAGTATTTGTATCAATTGATGAACTTGTGTTAATAAAATTATCAGTTTGATTCTCTTTATTCTCTTGTGTATCTGAAAAGGAACTGTGGTCCTGAGATGCTAAAGGTGCTAAAGGCTCACATCCAAATTGGCCAAAGTAGTTTTGATCTTTTTCCAAATTTGAAAAATCCCAAATGTCATACTCCTGCTCAGTTTGAGCAATTTGTCTTTGTGGAAATTTTAGAACATTCATACCATTACCAATACGCGATATAAGACGTGTTAATGTGCAACGGTCTTTCTCAGAAGCAACGAAATTAATAGCAATGCCATGCGAACCAAAACGTCCTGCCCGTCCAATACGATGCAAATAAGTTACCATGTCATTCGGTAGTTCCAAATTGATAACCAGGTTAACATGCTCGGAATCAACCCCCCGGGACATAAGATCGGTTGTTATAATAATTCTCGATTTGAATTCTCGAAATTTATGAAACATTGCGAGTCGAGTTTTCTGATCCTGAGCGCCAGAAATAAGTTCGCAAGGCCAACCTTCTTTTTCCAAATAGTTGCAGTAGGAGTTGGCGCGCGATTGGGAGCCAGCAAATATCAAACACTGCTTAAATGCTACACGTCCAAAAATAACCCGAAGGCCTTCTAGTTTTGACTGCATTTCTAATATACTCGTTTTTTGTTCCGGGATTTCATAGGCGAATTGTTTAATTCCAACTAATAGCGTAGCTCTTTCCTCAGTTGAAATTAGTAGAGGATTACGCATTATCTTCGCCAACTCTTTATCTAAGCCGTCACAAAATGTTGCACTACATGCAATAGTTTGCTTTTTTGCCGGCAAAGCATTTTGTATACGACGCAGATCTTGTCGAAAAGATTGGGTGTACATTTTATCTGCCTCATCCAGCACTAACAATCGCATCTTTGAGGTATTAAGCACGTTGTTTTGGATTAAATGAAGTAATCGTCCTGGAGTGCCCACAACAGCTTTGGCACTTTGTAAACGCTTTCTATCCTCAGCGACATCTAGACCTCCAATTACACTCACAGCACGGAAATTGCTGCAGCAACTCCCAATTTGATTTAGCACCATTTCGATTTGTATGGCGATCTCCCTCGTAGGTACTACAATCAATGATTGGGGCTCTAGCAAATCCATTCGGTAAGCTTCTAGAATTATCGTGCAAAATATTAAAGTTTTTCCGGTTCCTGATTTCGATTGTACAAGTAGATCTAAATAAATAAAAAATAAAAAATTTTGCTATTACATTTTAGCGGAACTCTCCAACATATGTCAAACATCCATTTTGGGTACTGTTTAGTTATTTGTACAAAGATGTTGGGTTGCTGTGCCCAAACGCTTGACACGAATCAAAACATTTTTGCACACGCTTGTAGACAAAAGTATACGCTTGAAAAAAATAGTATACCTGTGCAGTATTTTATTAATAATTTCGGTTAGAAATATGGTATTTTTTTGCAAATTTTCCGTGCTGAGCTGTCAAACACGAAAAATATCCACGAAATATGTCTGCAATACGTGTTTAGCACCTCTTCTTCGCCAACACAGAAAGGAGAATTCTACTTAGTGAGAGTTATAATCCCTAAGTGCGGCCGAAGACCGCCTACGCAGAAAGATGAGCTCTGCAAAAGGTGTTCAGACCCTCTTCTTCGGCAACACAGAAAAGAGAATTCTATTTAGTTAGGGTTATAATCCCCAAGGGCGGCCGAAGGCCGCGTACGCAGAAAGGTGTTCTCTGCAAAATGTGTTCAGCCACCCTTCTTCGGCAACACAGAAAGCAGAATTCTTCTTATAACGGAGAATTATTTTCCTTTTGCAAAAAATACCAATTTCCACTATTTTTAAAACAGCTACCCAGGGCCCTGTGGTGTGGTGAGGGAGGGAGGGGTGGCTCTTCATAAAGCGCGGTCCATCCTCTTTCGTTTAGGAATGGTTGGGGCCACTCCCTCTTCGCCACCCACCACCACAAAATCGTTGTACAATTAACTAAACATTGCCCTGCATATTTTGCGTGACATTAGTTTTCAGCACTTTTTAATTACCTAGTCCCGACTTTCCCATTGGAATCGACATGGCCTGAATAGCTGTAGGGTATACAAATCCTGTTTTCTGCAACCCTTTGCGTACTGATTCTGACAGCAACATTTTGCTAAACGGGGCCAGTTCCTTAAGTTTTATGTCCTCTGTTCGGACTTTACCTTCCAGGCTATGCGCAACATTTCCTGCTTCCATTTTTGTGCCTCGCACAATTTTTCAGTTTAATTAAGGAAACCGGTAAAATAATTTTGCATACTTGCAAAACTTCACATTTAAATCAGCTGATTGTCTACTAGAGTAGTGATGTGCTGAATCAATACCCAATACTCAGTACCCAATACCTGAAGAAAATTAATTTCGGTACCTAATACTTTCTTTTCGGTACCTAATACTTTCTTTTCGGTACCCAATACTTTCTCTTCGGTACCCGACACCGATTCGATACATTAAACCCTCCTCATTACATATAAACTTCTTGTCAGCAGATTAAGTTTAGTCACATTTTTTATAAAAGTCTAGCACATTACATAACCAGCACCACATTAATCCACATTTCAAACTTTTTACAAAAATTAAAAAAATTCAACAAACTTTAACAATTACGCATAAAAATGTTAAACTACAGTAGTAGATTAAACTGCAATATATTTTTTTTGCTGACGGTCCTAGGCATTTACCTCCATATAAATGTAATTAGCGATCACACTTTTATGGGAGAAAACCATCAGCCAAAAAAATTATTAAAAATCAACGCAATTTTCTACCTTCATGAAATTTCCACTTTAACCAACTAAAATTGATCGGGCTATAAAACTGCATAAAAAGTTTAAATTTTGTAGGTGTAATTGTTAAAGCTCCTCACATGGTATAACTCCGCCCAAGGCGAATTTATACAAGTTGGTGTTACCGCGGAAACACAATGGCGGCGAACGGCGAACTCACCACAGCGAAATTACCGCTGTCAAAATTAGAATACCCATCGGCATATGAAATTGAACACAGCAAAAGCGAAATGCGAAGTTCGCACGGCGGCGTTTCGTGGCGATAGATTTATTTCTATCGCTCTGCCGGGCGATGGCGGCAGTACATGCCAAAGGTGGCCGTATGTTTTTTTACTTTCAAAGATTTAGAAGAAAACAGCTTGTAACCCGAATTATTTTTGATGGCATGAAAAATACAGAGATCGATTCGTTAAATCTGGCTAAAAATAAAATAATTTAAGGGGGAATCCCTTGCTTTATATTTATGTTTGTTATCATTTCATCATTTCTAAATATAGTTTCGTTTTTCAAAATATGGTCACCTAACTTATAAGTACGACGAAGTGGTATCAGTTGTTTTCGCTACCGCTCTAATTCTGTTAAAGTAGGCGAAATAGCAGGGCGAACGGTGAACGACGGCATCGCCCAGTTCTGCGAACTTCGCCGTTCGCCGGATATTGTGTTTCAAGCATCACTGGCGAATTTTCATTTTCGCCGCGGTACCAACGCGAATTCATATTACAACAAACACAACATTTTGACATTAAGGGCCGGTTACTGAGGGCCGGTTGTTCAATGTCTGGTTATCACTACTTGCCGATTAAACATCATTATCGACGATTTCGACAGCATGCATATAACATGTGATCGATAAAGCAGTCGTTGTATCTAACCGGAGCTTCTACCTCCGATTTGTGCTAATCGGACATTGAACAACCGGCCCTCAATGTCTGGTTAACACTAATCACCGTTTAAACATCATTAACGACGTGTTCGGCTCCATGCATTTAACATGGAGTCGGTAACGTCGATAACGATGTTTTACCGGAGATTAGTGTTAACCAGACATTGAGTAACCGGCCCTAAGAATTACCGCGGCCAAAATCTAAATTCGCCACCTTGTATAAATTCGCCTTGATTCCGCCATGGGTTACTCAAAAGTACAGTATATACCTTTTCGCAGTTTTTCACTAATTGATCACAAAGGGCCTGTGCCAAATGATAGAAAAGAGAAAATTTTGACGGATCAAAGTAAATATCTGACATTTCTCGTGGTGAATAAGAACGTCAGAATTTTACCTAGCTCATGGGGCTACACATAATATTGCTTGGCGGTAATAAGGAGCGAACATGAAAATGAAAGCTGAAACAGCATAAAAAAGCGTACGTTACTTGCAAATTATAAAATAATTATAAATTTTAAGAATTTCAGCAACACACAAAAATAAAGCTTTCGCACGAGCGTTTGTTTAGTTTTTCATTTGTCAAAATTTTACCTTGCATTTGGCACAGCAAAATTCAATTTATTTGTACACCATAGCAAATTTTTCCACCCCGTCTCACCACGGGGAAAAAAGTTACCGATTGGCACAGGCCCAAAGAGTACCTACTTTTGGGTGTGTGCAGCGTTTTCGTTTTGCGTGCACGGTAGTGATGGGCGAAATAGCGATTTTTCAGTATCAGTGGAAATAATGATTGCGATTTTTAAATCACAGTGATTTTTATGGCTATTAAGCGAAGCGCACATTAGCGCGATTCCATCGTTGCGAATACGTTGCGAATTCGGCTGTTAACTTCGAATCCGCAAACGTGCGCACACTTGAGCGATTTTTTCGCGTCGATTTCCGATGTACAATTCACTCAATTTTCCCTTTATTTCGTGTATTTTCGCACTCGGCGTGCCCAAATCGTACAAAATACTATTATTACGAACGTTTTTATTAGTTTTTGTACATTACACGTTTTTTTTTCTTTGCCTTTATTGCTGTGACATCTTTCTTCTTCTGCTTTGACGCCTTCAAAACGCTGCAAGCCGCGTTTCGAACGCGTCAATAGAGAGGAACATTGAATGTTCGAAAAATTCGCAGCGACGGTTCCTTGCAAGTGTGCGCTAGCGCATTAAAATGTATGGGTAGCATTGTTGTAATTTTTGGGCTTGCGGATTCGCAACGACAGAATTGCGCCAATGTGCGCTTCGCTTTATGATTGCTAGTTCTTTTAGACATATAGATGTGTATTAGGTCTAATTAATGATGACAAGTCAGTGTTGGTACATGTAGGGATAATTCCCTACCCTTAGCAATTTTAGTCGAAAAATGAGTGTAAGGAAAAAAGATTAATTTATTCGTTAAAAAATTTTGAAATAAAAAACTGAAACGCAAATAACGCTACCAAGAAAATTAAACTGCGTACTTGAAAATATCCAATTAAAACAACCATGGAACCATGTAAAATTACCATTTCTACCAAGATAGAGAAAAATCGCCATTCGCAACGTCTGTTGAGTAGCTATTGCCAGATGTGATTTTCATTCACAGCGAAATATCATGCGAGGAGGAAAATCACCACTCACTGATGTTGTGGCGTAGCAGTAGTCTGGTCAGAGAACATTTATAATGTTCGCTGGTCGTAGAGTGTATTGCAAGCTATCGGTGACTGCCATAAGATGTCGCAAATTGAAATCCAACTTCAAAGCCCAGATAAAGGCCGCAAGATGTCGCTGATGCCAAATCTGAGTCAAGGACGGGAACCAATCACAGGATGTGCCGCTGATGGGAATCCGAGAAATCCGCTACAAGGTGGTTTATATGTCGGAATCTCGTAAAGTGTGTTGGTATTAGGGATGTGGCGAATGTGGAATTTTAGACATCCGCGGATGCGGATGCGAATGCGAATGTCAAGTATTTTTAAGAAATAATAAAATTAAGTAAGTAAATTAAGTTATTTAGGTAAATAAAAAACGTAATATTTAATGTATATTTTATTTAATAATTGAATTTCAAAATCGGAACCTTATATTTAATAACATGTAAGAAAGTCTAAGTTCGGGCGGAGCCGAACATTAAATACCCGGCGCCAGTATTAAATATATGTTTTTCACCTTTCCGAAAGCTAGCACTACATGGTATGGCCGGGGTGTATCAATTTTGATTAAATTAGCGTCCTAAAATTTCAAAATATTGAAGCTTTAACCGTTTCTGAAATTTACTGTTATATGAAAAGCGGCTTCAATTTTAGTTGCTTTTATGTGGCAAGCACAATAACCATACCGAGTTTGGTACAAATTGGTAGAACGGTTACCGAGATACATATATATGATCGATATCGGGCGGTGCCACGCCCATTTTCCAAAATTTTATTATAAACGTACTTCTTGGTAAAGAATTGTTGCAAGCGTCAATTTTGAATAAATTAGCTTTACTATTTACTGATTTACCAAGGATTTCGCATTTATCTAAATTACCGTTATATGGGAGGTGGGCGTGGTTAGTGTCCGATTTGGTCCGTTTTCAATACCATCCGTCCTACAGCTTAGTATCCAGCTCTTAAGAAAAGCAAAAACTCCATATAAAATGACGTACAAGAAATGGCTAAGAAATTTTCTTGAGTCAAATTTCCTTAAGGCAGTACGCAGTTCTTCAGAAATTTAGTACGCTTTCTACTTTCTTTTTTGTGAAAAAAGAGCACAAGGCAACCCAGGTTTGCAACAGAAATATATGCCCGTTCCATTATTTCTTGAGGAAAGAGTGAGGCAACAGGCTGTGAGGTATAAAAAATGTCAAAATTCCTTGGACACACGCGAAATAATGGCAATTTTTTCTTGACCGTTTTCTTAAGAGCTGGATACTAAGCTTACGGCCGAAAGAAGTGCACGTACCAAGTTTCGTTAAGATATCTCAATTTTTACTCGAGTTATCGTGTGCACAGACGGACGGACGGACAGACAGTCACCGCTTAATCGATTTCTCTTTTTATTCTGATGTATGTATTAATTTGTCTATATCTGGCTGACTTCCAAAACGTCAATTGCTTTGCATACGTACAATGCATAAAGCGAAGCGCACATTGGCGCGATTCTGTCGTTGCGAATCCGCAAGCCCAAAAATTACAACAATGCTACCCATACATTTTAATGCGCTAGCGCACACTTGCACGATTCCGTCGCTGCGAATTTTTCGAACATTCAATGTTCTCTATTGACGCGTTCGAAACGCGGCTTGCAGCGTTTTGAAGGCGTCAAAGAAGAAGAAGAAAGGTGTCACAGCAATAAAGGCAAAGAAAAAAAAACGTGTAATATACAACAACTAATAAAAACGTTCGTAATAATAGTATTTTGTACGATTTGGGCACGCCGAGTGCGAAAATACACGAAATAAAGGGAAAATTTAGTGAATTGTACATCGGAAATCGACGCGAAAAAATCGCTCAAGTGTGCGCACGTTTGCGGATTCGAAGTTAACAGCCGAATTCGCAACGTATTCGCAACGACAGAATCGCGCCAATGTGCGCTTCGCTTAATACTCCATAACGCCGAACTACA